AGGACATCTCAAGGGAAATTAGAAGATATTTTGAAATGATCAAAATGAAAATACAAAAAAATCAAAATTTGTGGAATACAGGTCTCTAATCAATAACCTGAATTTCCACCTAGAGGTGGGTTAGGGAGAAATTGGTAAAGGGCCACAAGAAATGTTTACATTGTATAATAATAAAATTTAAAAATAAATAATTTTTAAAAATAATAATCTGTATGCTGAAAACTACAAACACTGATGAGAGAAATCATTGTAGAGAGTAAAAACGTCAACACTCCCCAAATTGATTGATAGATTTAATGCGATTCCTATAAAAATTCACTACAAACACTGATGAGAGAAATCATTGTAGAGAGTAAAAAATGTCAACACTCCCCAAATTGATTGATAGATTTAATGCGATTCCTATAAAAATTCCAGCAGGATTTTTGTTGTTGTTGTAGACAAATTGATTCTATAATTTATATGGAAAGGCAAAGAAACTAGAATAAACAAAACAGTTTTCAAATAGAAGAATAAAATTGGAGGAATCACACTACTATAAAGCTATGGTAATCAAGATAGTCTGGCACTAGTGAAGGGAAATATGCATGTATCAGACAGAATAGGGTCCAAAAACAGACCCCCACAAAGGCACAGAGGCAACTCAATGGAGAGCGGAATTTTCAACATATGGAGTGAAAATTAGCCTCAACTTAAACCTCACACCTTATACAGAAGGATAAAATAAATAAATAAATAATATAAAACTCTAAAACGTTAGAGAAAATCTTTGTGACTTGGGGTTAGACAAACAATTCTTATACGTAACACCAAAAGAACAATTGGCAAAAGAAACACTTGGTAATTTGTATCTCATCAAATTTAAATTAAAGATGTTTGCTCTGCAAAAGACACTTTTAAGAGAATGGAAAGAAAAGCTACAGACTGGGAGAAAATGTTTACAAATCACATACCTCACAAAACTTGTATTCAGAACATATAAAGAATTCTCAAAACTCAATTAGAAAATGGGCCTTGAATAAACATTTGACCAAAGGGGAAATATGGAAGGATTAGGCACACAAAAATATGTTCAACAACATTAACCATTAGGGAAATGCAATTTAAAACCATAAAGAGCTAATACCACATCCTTATCAGAATGGCTAACATAAAAAATATTGGCAGTTTCAAATACTGGCAAGGATGCAGAGAAAATAGCTTTCTCATACTGTGCTGGTGGGAATGCAAAATAGCCACTCTGGAAGTCTGGCAGTTTCTTATACAATTAAACCTACCTCTACCACATGGCCCAGCATCCCACTCTGACATACTCTCCCTAGAGAAATGAAAACTTATGTTCATACAAAAACTTATGTTTTTCAAAGACATTATGCTGAGTCAAAGAAGGCAATCTCCACGTTATATCCTGTATGAGTCTACTTACATTCTGGAAAAGGCAAATCTATAGGGATTGAGAATAGATGAATGTTTGCAGGAGACTGGGGTGGGGTGAGGGTTTGACCACAGAGGGGAAGTGTCAGGGGATTTCTTGAGTGATTTTTGCTGTGTCCAGATTGTGGTGGCAGATACATGAATCTACATGTGTTAAAACATAGAAGGCCTTGAATAAACATTTGACTGAAGGGGAAATATGGAAGGATTAGGCACACAAAAATATGTTCAACATCATTAACCATTAGGGAAATGCAAGTTAAAACCATAAAGAGCTAATACCACATACTTATCAGAATGGCTAACATAAAAAATATTGGCAGTTTCAAATACTGGCAAGGATGCAGAGAAAATAGCTTTCTCATAATGTGCTGCTGGGAATGCAAAATAGCCACTCTGGAAGTCTGGCAGTTTCTTATACAATTAAACATACCTCTACCACATGGCCCAGCATCCCACTCTGACATACTCTCCCTAGAGAAATGAAAACTTATGTTCATACAAAAACTTATGTTTTTCAAAGACGTTATGCTGAGTCAAAGAAGGCAATCTCCACGTTATATCATGTATGAGTCTAGTCACATTCTGGAAAAGGCAAATCTATAGGGACTGAAAATAGATGAGTGTTTGCAGGAGGCCAGGGTGGGGTGAGGGTTTGACCACAGAGGGGAAGTGTCAGGGGATTTCTTGAGTGATTTTTGGTGTGTCCAGATTGTGGTGGCAGATACATGAATCTACATGTGTTAAAACATAGAAACTATACATCCAAAAAAGTTAATTTTATGGTATGCTAATTTAGAATTTTAAAAAAATACACAAGTAAAGTTATTTTTAAAAATGCCTTAAAAGAAATTTTCCATCTGGGTTTCTGCCAGTAAAGTTGATTTGTGGAGTTTCGAGAAGAGATTTTCCTCCTTCTCCCCAGCTCCCCCAAATTGCACTCCTGGGCACTCCCTTTGTGAAAGTGGGGTGCAGGTAGGCTTGGAAAGAAAGGACATTTGGCCTCCACTGGACCCACTGCTCTGCCTTAAGCAGAGCAGGTGTGCTTCTGTTTGTCCCCCATGCTTGTTTAAAAACCTCTGGATTAGAACAGCTGGTCTTGAGCCAGCTCTTCAGGCATGGAGGGGGTCTGAACAATCCTGGATTCCAGGCCTACTGGTGGAGCCCACTCGTTTAACCCTCTGACACGTGCCCCAGTGGATCCTGGTAGTCAGTCAGACTGGGGTGCTGGTGCGATTCTGTCAGTGATTCTAAACAAGGTCTTTTGTGAGGGGCTGGAATGTGCTCCTTGCTTGTTTCCCCAGCCGCACCTGGATGAAACACAATGGGACCTCCTAAAAGGCTTCTAAGTCTAGCTCCCTCTGAGGTAGGGTCTGAAAGGACTGAAACCATTTTTTTTTCCCACACAGGGTGACTTTTTGGAAGAGCACTTAGTAAACAATAAAGGGCTGTGCACAGAAGGGGGAAATGCCCTTGTGAGGATGACTGTGCTGACCTGGGACCAGCAGGGCCAAAGAATCCTGGGACCAGCAGGGCCAAATGACTGTGCTGACCTGGGACCAGCAGGGCCAAAGAATCTATCATTCATGATGAGGGTAGCCATTTACACTAAGCATGCATCATGTGCCAGGCACTGTGCTGAGGAATTATTGAATCTTCATGACAACTGTGTGAGAAAAGAGCTGTCACTGTTTGGACAGATGAAGACACTGAGGCTCCCAGAGGCCCCAGTTCACATGGAAAGGTGACAGGGTTGGGTCCCAGTCCAAGACAAGGCCTGTGAGAAAAACCCCTGAGGCCTGTTGTCAGGCCTGCTTTCCTCATGTGCCCTGGAGAAGTGTACCAATGCCACCTTGCATCAAAGATTGGGGTATGATTGCTGAGGGCTCTTGAGACCTTGCTATGTACAATAGCACTCAAAAAAATTTAATACAGTGGAATGCTTTCTTTGAAAACTATCTTATGCACAAGTTCAATCTAGAAAACCAGAGTTGGGCCACTGTGGTGAAGGTGGAAGCAGGGATGGTCTGGGGTCCCCTGGGCTCCTGGAGTAGCACTTGAAAGCCACTTATCCAGTAGGTTGACACTTACTGTGAAAAGCACAGGAGGTGCCATGATGCTTAAGGCTCTGGCTTTGGGTCTGAAAGAACAAGATGGGATTGTGGCAGAATCATTCCTGGGTTAGCCAGTCCTGGGGAGGGCTTCAGAATTCCAGGCCTGCCAAGTGCATTAGGTGCTAGTCTCTGTCCTGGGTACCACCTGCCCTGCCCTACCCTCTGGCCAGCAGCCATGGCTGGCCACCCACAGGGTAGAAAAGTTATCTTCACCCTCTTAGAATTAGTGACTTTATTCTTTAAAGATACGGATTAGGGGCTGGCCCATGGCTCACTTGGGAGAGCGTGGTGCTGACAACACCAAGTCGAGGGTTAAGATCCCCTTTCCGGTCATCTTTAAAAAAAAAAAAAAAAAGATATGAATTAGCAGATTAAAAGCTGCAGCAACCCTTTCTTTCTTCTGGCCCTTATAAAAGGCATCATCTGTTTTTTTCTGTATCATCAAAAGTAGAATGTCCAAGTTCAGATCTTGGTGCAGACCAACAACAGATCTGTACCTCTAACCCCAGCGTAGGGGCTGGCAGGATGGCTCACAGTGGAATCATCAAACGGACCTCCTTCTCATAGATGTCAGGGATGACTCCCATGGGGGAGCTGACCATGTGCACAGTGTTCTTGCCAAACAGCTGGAACTCATAGTGGATGAGCTGCTCCCAAAAGCCATTGTTGGGCCGGATAATGGGCCGGCATGACTTGGTCCATGTGTGGGCATCTAGCAGGGACATGGCATGGTACTTCATGAGGTAGGCAAGGCACAGGGTGGCCGAGCGGCTCACACCAGCAGCACAGTGCAGCAGCGTGCGGCCCTGCTTCATCTCCACACTGTGGATGTGGTCAGAGATAGGGTCAAAAAAGTCGTAGAGATGCGAAACGGGGGCATCGGCTACAGGCACCTGCACGTACTGGATATCCTCGTATAAGGTATTCACCACCTCCACCGAGGCATTGATGACCGTGGTGATCTGGTGGCTGGACAGCAAGAGCTTGTTGTTGGCAGCCACACCATTGCTGATATAGAGGCTTCTGGTGATCTGTGAGAGGCCGCTGACCGAGGGCGGTCGGAACTGAACTGGGAAGGCAGGCGGGGGCGCTGTCATCAAGGTGGTGGGTCAGCAGTCAGCCGAGTGTGAGGGCTGCACCTTTGTGCTAGGCTGTGTCCACAGAAAACTGCGGGGAGGGAGAAGATGGTTAGAGGGCAGGAGCCCAGCAGGCCAACCCCAGGGATTTCTGGGAAATGGATGGATGGACCTACAGGACTCCCCAAGGTGGTCTGACCATCACAGCAGAATTACCCAGGGAACGCATTAAAAATACAGATACCTAGCCCCCTCCCCAAACCCACTGAGTCAGATTCTCAGGGTGAGGAGCAGGACTCTGCATGTTCAGCATGCTTCTCAGATAGTCTAATGGGATTATCCTATGGGACAAAGGGCAAGTCCACCAGCCTGGCACTTGAGGCCTCCCTTGAGGGGCCCCACCTTTCTAGATGGGCAGGCCGACTTGTATCCCTCAGCTGTGCCCTGGCCTGACTCTCCAGCTAGGCTCTCACAGCCTTCTTCTCCCCTCTTCAAAATTCTCTCTTTCCTTCCAATTCCTCTAAGTGGACACCACTTACATAATCTCCCTCCTCAGTCTTCTGACTTTATGGCCCAATCATGAGACCCTGAAACAGTGACATAGAACCGGAGCCCACTGTGCTGGGAGTCACTGGAGGGGCTTAGGATAAAAGCAGGAGGGTCCCAGCTGTCCTCCTCCAAGAACCATCTCTTTGAAGAGACAGGATGTGCCTATGTAAAACTGATGTTAAATGACAAAGTCCTGTATTGTTAAACATGCTCCTGCACCTTGCCTCTAAAGAGGGCCTGAGGAAGGAAGTGGCCAAAAGCTGCCTGAAGGACAGCATAACGGGCATTACAGCAACCCCAGGAGCAAGTGCAGAGAGGCAGCAGAGCCTCAGGAAGACTAGCCATGCCAGCACCATGCAGCCTGCCACAGGACTGTGGCATGCACCCCAGGAATGGGCAGACCCCTGCCTTCTCCAGGACTGTGGCATGCACCCCAGGAATGGGCAGACCCCTGCCTTCTCCTAAGAAGTCTCAGGCCCCTCACTTTCTCATTCTTGAACAAAGCTGCAAAAATAGCACATCTGTATATGTTTCACTAAAATAGAAGCATTCAGATTTAGATCACACTTCTCAAGGCCAAATGACAGCCTTCACTAGGCACAGACAGATGAGGAGCCAAAGTTTTGTTGCCCTACTTAATATATTTCAGCAGCTGCCACTGTTAAGACCATTGTGGTCTGGTTCCTGCCCATCTCTCCAGTCTACTAGCCTTCCCCATGTCCTGAAGGGCCTCGGCTAGACTGAGCCACTTACAGTTGTTTATGGACATCCTGTCCTCTCCAGCCAGGGGACTTTGCCTCTGCTGCTCCCTCAACCCAGAACCCCATTTCCTTCTAAGCCAATCAGATCCTGATCTGTCCCATTCAGTAGAGGACTGCAGAAATCTGAGGAGCCTTGGGATCTCAGCCCAATGGTCATTTCCTTAAGGGAAACCTCCTGGGAGCACACCCCTCGCCCATGTATGATCAAGTCCCTGTCCAGACTTTCTCAGCCCTATGTTCTCTCCTTCCCAACACTTACCACTTGAAGATGTGGTTTTGCCTTGATCTGTCTGATTATTTGATTAAAGTCTGTCTCCCCAGGAGACTGTGTGCCCTTTAGGGTTATGATGTGTCTGTCTTCTCCTATTATATCACCCACCAGTGCCAATTATGTCCTCACAAGTAGGTGCCTCATAAATATTTGTTGAACGAAGGAATGACTCCAACAACCAAGACTCTGTTTTCTGAGAGGTTTTCTGGAAAGGATGAGTTCTCTGGCATGTTTCTCTAGAATTTCAGGGAGGGGCTGGGTGGGGTTGGGGTGGTTCTTAGTCTACTGGAGAGGAAGGCCAAAGACTGCATAGGCAAATCCTACCTGCCAACACCCCAGGGTCAAATGCATCAGACTCACCCTGGAAAGGGCAGTCAGGGGGGCTGGCTTGTTCTAAAAATCATATGAGGGGCAAGGAAAAAGCCCCCCCCAAATCCAGGTGGAAGCCTAAATGCTAAGGATTGTTCTGGATCCTCATAATAAGGAAACCCGGACAGAAGCAGACCCTTCCTCCCCAAACCAGTGCCCAGTGAGTTAAGAGAAATAGAGGAAACTGCTGCTCATCACAGTGACAGAAAGTCTGAAGAAGAGACACTGTTCTTTAGGGGGAGGATAGTGATGGAGGAGTTATTTTCATGCTAGCCAAGAAATATTTATCAGGCACCATATTAGGTATTGGAGATACTAGAATGTATAAGACAGTCATGGCCACTTTTCTCGAAGACCTCAACTCTTATACACTGTTGGAAGGAATGTAAATTAGTACAGACATTACAGAAAACAATATGGAGGTTCCTCAAAAAACTAAAAATAGAACTACCATAAGATCCAGCAATCCCACTACTGGGTACTTAGCCAAAGGAAAGGAAATTAGCATACCGAAGAGATATCTGCATCCCCTGCAGCACTATTCACAACAGCCGAGATATGGAATGATCTAGGTGTCCACCAGCAGATGAATGGATAAAGACAATGTAGTAGATATGCACAATGGAATACTACCTGGCCATGGTAATGAATGCAGTTCTGTCATTTGTGGCAACACAGATGAGCCTGAAAGACTTTTTACACCACACTTTAACCAACTGAGAAACCGGCCAGCCCGAGCCTGGAAGACATTATGTTAAGTAAAATAAATCAGGCATATAAAGATAAATACTGCAAGTTCTCAATCATAGGTGGGAGCTAAAAAAAAGTTGAGCTTTTAGAAGTAGAGAATAGAATTGTGGTTACTAGAGGCTGGGAAGGGGAGGGGGAGGGGATATAGGAAGAGGTTGGTTAATGAATACATAATTACAGCTAGATAGGAAAAATAAGTTCTAGTGATGTAAGCAGTGCTAGGCATCTATAATTAGCAATAATGTATTGTATGTTCTCAAATGGCTAGAAGAGAGGAGCTCAAAAAAATGATAAATTTTTATGGTGATGAATATGCTGATTACCCTGATTTGATCACCAAACCTTGTTTGTATACATGTATTGAAATATAACTCTGTACCCCATAAATATGTACAATGTGTCAATTTAAAAAAAAATCTAGTGGGGGGCCGGCCTGTGGCTCACTTGGAAGAGCTTGGAGCTGACACACCTAGTCAAGGGTTAAGATCCCCTGACCAGTCATCTTTAAAAAAAAAAAAGTCTAGTGGGAAAAGCAAATAACAAAAGAAAAAAAAAGGGAAGAAAAGAAAAAATATCTAGTCGGGGAGACAGACATTAAACAAGCAATTACAAGTATTACAGCGCTGGGAAATAGGGATAACAGTGCCTACTTTAAAAGGGTGTTATGAAGACTAAATAAGGTAATCCAGATAAAATGTTTGACACAGGGCCTGGCACAGAGTGAGCTCTAAAAATGTTAACTATTCTTCTTGCCGTTGTTAGGGAAATTTTAATGCAGGGCATTGTAGGAATGAAGAGTAAAGGGATTTACTCCAGGCTTAGGGATAGGGAGTCGCAAAGATCTCCTTAAGAAATGACACAGAGATCTGAGGAACGTTTAGTATGAACGGAAGGAGGCAGGGAAATAGCAACTCTGCAGCAGCCTTTGGCTTCCCTTGTCTGGCTCGATCTTCAAAGCAACTTATTCAGATTGGCTTCTAGAGTTAATATCTCCATTTAATGCAGGAGGAAAGTGAGACACGAGGGAAAGACTTGTTCAGGTCACAATGTAAGGTCCGAAAGCTGGTCTTTCTGGTCCATTACGTGTGGGAAAAGTCGGCAAACACCGTGGGGCGTTCGTTAAATACGTTATAAACGTGGAACGAAGTCCACGGGTTGTCGCGAGCGAGGCGCCACTTCCAGGGGAGGGCCAGGTAAGTTTCCCGGGGAGGTGGCAATGGAATAGCCTTCTTCGCTGGCTCAGTGTCAAGACCCCGGAGGTCTTACCTCTTTCCCGTAGGAGGGCGGGCGGGTTCGTTCAGCAAGCAGCCGCGCAACGAAGCCTCGGGCGAGGGTCTCGGGGAGAGTGAAGACCCGTCACGATCCGGGGGCCACGATCCCTGCCGGATCAACTCTCTGGTTTCCATAGCAGTGGTCCCTCGTCGATAGGAAGCATCGGCCGCGCCTGATCTTCGGAGAAATCCCAGCCTCGGCTCACCCGGTTACCCCACCGGGCGATCACAACAATACGGGTGGAGAAGCAGAGTCGGCTCAGTGCACCTTAGCCCACCCCATTCCGTCCAATCCGTCTCCACGGCAACGCGCCGGATCGCAGCACGGCGGCCGCCGAGGGACAATCTTGCCGCGTCCGCAGCTTCCGGGCTCTGCGCACACTCCCCGCCCCCCCGCCCCGCCCCCTCGCCTGTCTCCCGGGCAACGCGCCGCGCTCAGCTCAGGGAGTTGCCGCGGGTCTCACTACGCGTCCGCGAGCGTCCGGATCATGACCTCCAACCTGGCTCCCATTCCCGAGTCGTTCTTCAGGGTGGAAGACTCAACGGCACGGCCGGCTAGGCCCTCGGTCACGTGGGACCCGGGCTCGTCCACGGATTATGGGACCGCCGCCTCGGCGACCACCAGTTCCGGCGCCACCCCGAGCTTGTTACGGCGCTATCGCCTCGGTCGTCGCCCAGAAATCGATTTGGAAGTTCGTCCGCAGATCTGCTTCCTGCAGCCACGGACCACGCAGCAGCCGGTGCTCTTCAGGTGCCGCCCGGGTGTCCGCAGCGTTCGTCAGACCTCCGGACCCCTGGGAGCGCTCGAACTCTCTCAGACCCACACTCTCTCAGCCGGACCCCCGGCTCTCCCAGGGTCCCGGATCCCGCAGAGCCTGGCCCTTTCTTAGACCCCAGGGGAGTCTGGATTTCTCACAGACCCGGCCCCCAGCTCCTTCCCAGTCCAGCTCTTCGGACCCCAGGAGCCTGAGCGCCCTCAGCGCGGGCTCCGGAGAGAGCCGGAATTCCCACCTGCAACCCACATTTCCTGCGAATCGGCCCCGGCCCTTCAGTCCCCCCGGCTTGACACCGTGTGGCCCCAGTGCCCTTTGGCCCAAACCTCCTTAGACCTTGAGGAAGCCCAGCTCCAGCATCCCTCTCCTCAGCTGTACGTTCCCCAGTGGCCCTGGAGAAGCTCCCAGTCCCCTCTGCCTGGCCCCAATCCTCGCAAACCCCAGTCCCCTCTTCCCCGCTTCCATTCCACAACCCACAGCATCCTCCAGGCAGGCTCCCACAGAGGACTTCGGCTGAAATGCAATTTGGTTCAAAATGACCATTATTTACTACTTGAAAGGGAATATTTCCAGTCACTGCCTCTTTTTTTCTTTTTTCTTTTTCCTTTCTAGTATTGGTAAATTTGGTGCGCCACTGAGTGGGTGGTTTTATGTATCTCTAAATATTTTAGATCTTTTTTTAAAAAAAGAACAGGATTTGGGGGACTTTTGTGTGTGAGCATCTTGATCTCTAAAACAGCCTTCTCCATCATCCCATGCCTATAACGTGTTGCCGTGCATCGAAGTCAAAAACATGCAAATACAAAATTGAGGACTTTTGTTTGTTCATACTAGTTTGTAAATATGCAGACATTCACAATACTATAGTCCCAAATTGGCTGAAAATGAATTAGAAAGAAATTCTAATCCTTCGAAATGTTTTCTCCTTTAAAGATTGTCTTTTTTGTTCTAGTTATAAAAGTAGTGTGCACTTGTAGAAAAATCAGACAAGACACAAACAAAATGAGTGGCCAGAGACAATTACTGTTAATGTCTTTGTGTATATTGTTCCAGATGCATTCATATATATGTGTTACAACATGCTTATACTTTTTAAAAAAAATACATTATGGGGCTGGCTGGTTAGTTCAGTTGGTTAGAGCTCAGCCTGAAAACTCTGAGGTCACAGGTTCTGATCCCTGTACCTGCCAGCCACAGAGATCAGAAAAAGAAAAAAAAAAAGAAAGGAAAATTCACAAAAAGTTCACTGTTTAGTAACCTGCTTTTTTTCTTCATCTAATACACCATACATATCTACATTTTATACATAATTACATGTATTTTGTCATATGACTTGCCAAAATTTATTCAATTGCTTCCCTGTAGTTGTATATTTAGTTTTCAATTTTTAGAAAGAAAATAGAAACAATTATTTTTAAATGGGCAAAAACATTTAAAGGTATATATATTTGTAAAACCACTTTGTGGTGGAATCAAATTATCAAAAAGTAAAAACTCGGGGCCTGGAAATATCCATTACTGGTCCCATCCAATTTTGACCAAATTGTTATTTCTGTTTTCACCTAGAGCACCTGGTTCCATTGTACCCCACCCCACACCGTCTTCCACCTTTCACCCTCCACAGTCTCCAGAACCCCTGTCCACTCCAGATTTCCCTCACCTTTGTACACTTTTCTCAAACCCTTTTCCCTTAGAATTCCCCTGTTGACCAGTCTAACCTTTGTCTAAACTCTTCATTTTCTTTTTTCCCTTCTTTGATCTACCCCCTGCCTCCCAGATCCTCTTTAGGCCTGGGCTCTGGAGCAAGGGCCCCCCACTTCAGTCTCCCTCAAATTCATCCCTCTGAATCCTACCCCTCAACTTTTACTCTTCTCCTCTAAGACTCACACCTTCCCTCTCATCCTGCATTATGTCATTAAGATGACTGCTTCTGAGGACAGTTCTGAGTCCCTGTTGACTCTTTTGTTGTCTACCCTGGACCCTCCTTCAGCCTTCTCAGGATGGATTTTTCTCTAAGCACCCAAGAAATACCCCTTTAGCATACCTTTTCCACAAGAAGAAACCTATGGCTACTCTCTTGCTCCTCTGAAAATTATGACAGATTTGTGCTTGTCCTGAGAAACCTGGGGAAGCTCTTTCACTCCCCCATCAAATCAGGCCCTGGCCCTGGTCCTGGCCATATATAACCTGTACTACCTTCCCCTCCTCATTCCAGCTTAATGAATTCCAGTGAAGCAGCAGTGAAAAAACTTTTACCCAAGAGCCATTTATCTCAGGTGATTATTCGTGACAACCTCAGTGCACAACGAATCTATGAGATGGAGGTAAGTAGCCATAAGCTTTTGCATTGACAGGATGTTAGTGGCTTGAACCATATTCATTTCACTCTCCCCATATCCTTGGGGGGTGGAGGGAGGCGATTACAGGTCACAGAGGTGATAGGGAGCCATCCAGGTGCTCTAAGGCAGCCCCACTTTACAGAGGAGGCAATTGATACTATTACCAACTTGCCCAAGGTGTCACACCTGTTCTATGTCTTGTGGGTCTTGTGGCATTTTTTTTTCTCAAAGCACATTATCTCTATTTAGGGAATCCATGAATAGACCTTTACTATCTTCCATACAAAGTCTTGGGTCCTAAGGCTTGAATTAGCAGCAACACTATCTGTTCAGTTTTTTCCTTGGGGGATTACCCCCATTTTCCAGATGAGAACTGAAGCTCTTCTCCCATTTTTTGCTTATGGACAAGTAGGGTTTTACCTGCTCACTCAAAGGCTCAAGTACTGTCACCCTACTGGTCCCTGTAGACCCTGACTGATTAATTCATTAAACGTGTCTTTAGGGCCTGCTTGGGGCAGGCAGTGTGCTGGGCACTAGGAAGAGAAAAGTAAGCATTGTGGACTCCAAGAATGTATTTATTTCTTCGAGCAAAGCAGGCAGCCCAGAGTTGAGTGGCTGCCTCCTTATTGACTATGTTGAACTTCCCTTTGTGTTCCAGGGTCCAATCTGGATGGGCCTGTGGGATTCTGATATTGAAGAGAGTGGGGGAGGGGCTGGCCGGTTGGCTCACTTGGGAAAGCATGGTGCTGATAACACCAAGGTCAAGTATTCGGATCCCTATGCCAGCCAGCTGCCAAAAAAAAGAAAGAAAAGAGTGGGGGAGCCTTAAGACATGATGCCAGATTCTCTTGAGGGCCACAAAGACCAAAAGAAGACTAGGGGCCTGGGTATTTCTTCTTCTGCTTAACTTCCAGGGGTGTGGAAATGTGATGGACTTGGAGATGGGCAAGCCAACTTAGCTTTGTGTGACCCTGGATGAATCACACTTCCTCCAGGACCATTTTCTTATTTGTAAAATAGGATCTATTAAGATCTTCTCAGTTGCAGGTGATATAAGCTGAACTTGAAGTAGTTCAAGCAAAATGGAGAATGATGGGTTTACATAATCAAGAATGGATAGGGCAGGGTTGCCAACATTTGGGATGAGAGAAGCCAGGGCCTCCAGTACCATCAAGTGTGTCTTTCACTCTCCCTCTTCAACTCCTTTGTCTGCTGTTTTCTGGACACTGACATCATCATCAGGCTGGCTGTCCCTTGAGAGCAGGGCCACAGGAAACCCTGTAGACCACAATGGAAGTGGAAGTGCTTCCAGTGTTGCTCATGTTAGACAAATCCTGGAGACAGACTCCAGTTGGCCCAGCTGGGTCATGGGCCCATTCTTGCTCCAATCATTGTGGCCAGGTGGTGTGGGGTATTCTTACTGGCCCAGGATGGATTGTGGGCCCCCCCTATAAGCAGTCTGTGGGGAATATTGTACCTCTTGCAGGTGGGGTGAGGATCTCTGAAATAATATTAAAAAATAAAAAATGAAATACTATAACTGGAACTCCTGAGTTGGCTTTCTAGGTACCAGAGGGCTGTGTCATCCTTCAGTCATCCAGAAACTTACTTTTAAAGCTGTGTTGAGCCTTTATATATGTTTAGGTACTTGATGGGCATTATTTATTATTCCCCCATTCAACAGTTCAGGAAACTGAGGCTCAGAGAGATGGAGTAACTTTACTAAGTTCACACATACAGAAAATCATTGCAGAGTTGCAAACCTGGGTCGGACTGATCATTGTGCAGGCCACCCTCCCTTAAGGACAGAAACTGTCTTCTCCATGTTTGTAGACCCAGTGACTAGCTGAGAGCCTGGCTTGCAGGAATTCAGTGGATTTGATGGCCTCGGTGACAATGTGACAATGTTTCTGTCTCTCCAAGAAAGTGCTCACATTTGGGGAAGAGGAAGCTTTGGGTATGCACTGATTTAAATGAGGACAGCAAAGGTCTGGTGTCTGAGCATGCTCAGAACAGTGAATAATGGCTGGTGTCCCTTTATCTATGGGTGTGGTTCTCAAGTAGGAGTGGTTTAGCCCCTCAGGGGAAATTGACAGCGTCTGAAGATGTGTTTGGTTATCACAAGTGGGATGATGCTATTTGCATTTAGTAAGTAGAAGCCAGGGATGCTGCTAAATAGTCTACAATGTGCAGGACAGCTCCCCACCACAAAGAATTGCCCAGCTCAAAATGTTAACAGTGTCAAGGTTGAGAAACCCTGATCTGTGGTAGGAGTAATGCTCAAGGTGAAATCACTTGCTGACAGAGGCCAAAAAGCCATCCGTTATGGGGTGGACTAGAAATGGTGGTGAAAGTAGCCACTTACTTCTCAATGGCTGGATCAGAATCATCTCATGTACATGATAAAAATATAGATTTCTGGCCCCCATCCAAACCCTACTAAGCTAGAATCCCTGGAGTCTATGTTTTTATCAAGCAACTGAAATATTTCTGACGCTCATACAGGTTTAGAGACCACCCATTTTAGCTGTCTTTTATTGCCCATATTTTCTGTCACCCACTCTCCCTCTTTAACTTCCTGTGACAAATAATCATGCCAACATTGACTGGCTTTATGAAGGAACTCCTTTGCTTAACGTTGTGCTAGGCCTTCAGATAATGTTAGTGCTTTTCAGAATCTCCCGGAAAGCTTGCTAAAAACATAGACTCCCAGGACCATCACCCACCAGATTCTGTTTCTACTCCAAATGTCCCAAATCTCCCCATCCTCAATTTATATGAATTTATAAAACCCAACCCCAATTTATATGTCAAACCTCTGAGAAGCTTTTCTTGATGTCTCCCTTCTTTGAACTCTGGGCTTCTCATAGGGGTATATCGCTTTCTGCTGTGCTTAGAAATATTGGGGCTTGTGTCTCACCTCCTGACTACATTGTAGTTACTGTAAAGACCTGCAACTGGTTTTCTTAGTATCTCCTGCATCTAGCTCACTGGAATAAATAAATGAATGAGTAAGGCATAGGATATCCCTTCCCAGACCTTACAGTCTTGTTGTGGACAGGACAGAAGTTATACCATAGAAGAAATAAGTAGAATTCAGTGTGATATACAGGAGATGAAACAGACAATTTGTGGGAACCACCAAATGATCAATAGGGGTAGGGGGATAGGAGTTACAGAAAGGGAGAGAAACAAGATTCGCCCCCCCCGCCCCCCAACTGCTCCCTCCCATCTCTTTCTAGTCTTCAACTAGAGATGTTGTTAAGGTCAAAATCAGACTTCTAGGCTGTAGACTGTCAGAAGGTATCATTAGGGGTTACCTTGCTTAATGCCCATTTTGTACAAATATGGAAACTGAGGTTGCCTATGAGTCAAGACATTTATGGAATGAATATCAGGTCCAACTGGCACATTTTCCACCCCCAGATCAGCAGCACAGATGCCTCTCTTGCTGTGAAATGGTTACTTCATCCTAACTGCACCTTTGTTTTTTTTGTAAGATAAGAGCTTCAGACAAAACCAAGAAAAAGATGAGCCACTTGTACGACCATCTGAAAAAAAAGTTCATGACAGATCAGCTCAGAAAGCTGGGGCGCTGGAGACGGGAATCTATGAGAATCCAGCAGTACTTGGATAGCATCCGAATGTACCAGGACCAGTTGAAATTCCAGTCTCTCAAGAAAAGCCATCCACCCTAGTCATGGCAGAATGATCTGCCAAGGACCACAAGGACACTAGTCTGATCGAAGGAGAAATAGAAACTTGTTAGCCTACACCATTGTAGAACAATAAACCAAGACCAGCAGACAGCGGAGCACAAAACACCCTCAGCAATCCTAGTATTCCTTGCCCCACCCATCCACTCTATTCTGGTGAAGGAGATTCTGATGGTCCCATAGATGCTCAAGTGGAAGAGGCTGAATCAAGCCAGCTTCCATGGTTAAGGCAAAGACTGACCTTTCGGTGCCCACATGTCTGAGGTGATGTGCCAGGCCAGGTACACTGGAACAAAGACCTTTGATGGGAAGGGCTTGGTGATGACACTGGCTGGCATTCCAGTAGTTAAGGAGGTCAGGATGGGGCATCAGACAGACCTGGCTTAAATGCTATTTCTGCCACCTGTCAGCCATGTGACCTTGTAACTTCCCCAGACCTCTGTTTCCTTATCTGAAAGAATGGAGGTGTAGTAAGAAAGCCTAGGTCCAAGAACTGGCGTGAGGATATAAAGTACTTGGCCCAGGGTCTGTCATTTCCAATGCTTTTTATCATGATGGCTGCAGCTGGTTTCTAGCCTTGCTGGTCTCCACTCTCTATTGTGTCTTCTTTTCTGAGTACACCCTGATAGTCCCCATATCGTGCCTTTACTTGTGAAGACCCCATATCTAGAATGCCTCTTCAGCTCCCCAGGGCTCACATGAAACTATCCTTCAAAGTTTATCTCAGTGCCATTTCCTGCAAATCATTTCCTGGCCTCTTTGTGCTTCCTGTCTGTTCCTTCCCCTGCCCCACCTAAGTCACTCCCCTCTGAACTTGGATTACCTGTGGTGGCTTCATTCTGCCTTGCATGGTAGCTGTTTCAGGGTTTGTCCTAACCCCTGATTAGATTGTGCACTCTTTGAGGGTAGGGACTAAGGATCCTACAAGATTCAGTTCATGCCTCTTTTCTTCCTTGATACTTCCCCCAACTGGCCCCAATAGAAAAGGCCACTCCCTCCCGTGCCCCTGTGTGCCCGCACCTGTCTCTGCACCCAGTGTTTGGTTGGCCACTACTTGTTTGCACACTGTCTTCCTGATCAGGTTGTGAATGTCTTGATGGTAGTGACACTCACTCATTCATCCCTGTAACCACAATGCCTAGTAAATGGAGTAGTCACTCAATATTATTTGAATAAATGACTATCTCGTTCCTTTGTCTATTACTCACAGCATCAAGACAGTGCACAGAGTAAGGGCCTGGTACAAATTTTTTAAGTTAACCAAGTCTTCTCATTTTACAGATGAGGAAACTGAGGCCCAGAGAGGTGGCTTGACTTGCTCAAGGTCATACAGCAAGTTAGTGGCAGAGAACTAAAACCAGGTTCTAAAACTAAATCCTGACCCCTGTGGACTGGTCATTCTGCATCACCACAGTTGCTAGTAAGGACCTTAGTCCTGTTGGTGGCTCTCAGAAGTCCTCCTCAGGAAGTCCTACTCACTCCTCATGCCTCACACCTCCTCGTTGTCACTCTCTCCAGCAACGTGGCCTGGCGCCATTTGGCAGCCTTTCCTTTAAGAAGGATTTCAGCAAGCCCCTAGCCCAGAGGGGCCTGAATCAGGGGTGGGAGGCAGATATTCATGATGTTTTTATTTCTCCTCTTTATGGTCTTCCTTTGAGGACTGGAGCCTGCTACTTTTCAGTGGGAGCCAAAACAGTCTTTCTCTAGGTTGTTGTTTGTTTCCTTGGCTAAGCACAACTGATTAAATTGATTTTAAATACTTAAATGCCATTAACAAGCTATATGACCACATTTATAAAAAAAAAAGAAAAAGAAAAAAATCCCAGAGATTTTTAAAAAGAGTCCTCTTCTGTTAGATCAACCATGGCTGGCATTTTGGTATATTTCTTATATTTGGTATATTTGTTTTATTTCAACAAGTCTTTTTCCCCCCCTTGGCACTGTACCTAGAGAGGGGAAGGCTTTGGGGATCCTAGAATGAATCCCAGAGATTTTTAAAAAGAGTCCTCTTCTGTTAGATCAACCATGGCTGGCATTTTGGTATATTTCTTATATTTGGTATATTTGTTTTATTTCAACCAGTCTTTTTCCCCCCCTTGGCACTGTACCTAGAGAGGGGAAGGCTTTGGGGATCCTAGAATGTTTAGGGGGCCTGGAGAGCCACCCCAGCCTCTCTCTTTCCTCCAAACTATTCCCAGGACTTTCCACCTTCTAAATCTCACCTCTGTAGCCTTTCCGAACCTTACCCCAGTCCAGCCTCCAGCCACAATGCATCCTTCTTCCCTGGATGGCTGGCCTTGGCTGACAGTCTTTGCTTCCCCATGTGATGGCTCAACAGACTTGGAGACTCCTGGGAGTGGAGTGGGTGAGTGGAGTAGGGATGTTGACATAGTGAGTCACTTTATAAGCCACTAACTCACCTCTGATTGTGTGGACTTAACCTCCCATTTTTCATTAAAAACCAGAGGGTGTGGGCCAGCCCGTGGCTCACTCGGGAGAGTGCGGTGCTGATAACACCAAGGCCACAGGTTCGGATCCCATATAGGGATGGCTGGTTAGCTCACTGGCTGAGTGTGGTGCTGACAATACCGAGCCAAGGGTTGAGATCCCCTTACCGGTCATCTTTAAAAAAAAAACAAAAACAAAAAAACCCCAGAGGGTGTTGTATTTAAGTGGGTAACAAGAAATGATGAAGTTTAGGAAAGGCCACTTAGTTATTGGGAGGGAAGAAAAAGATTAAAAGTAAGAAAAATTAGTGATGGAAGAATGGAGAGGAATTGAATGGAAAGATATTTGGGGAGAAATAGAATCTCGAAGCTAAGGAGGGGCTCAGATTCTTTAGTCCAGTGGCTGGATGCACACACACACATAACTCAGTTCAAATGAAATCTTAGCTGGAAGCCCATTCCAGTAATCACAACCATTAACATATTAACATTTATTGAGCACTCATGTGCGAGGCACAAGGCTCAGTTATTTGCAAATGTGATCTCATTAAATCCCAACAACAAAATAGGTAATTTTATTAGCCCCATTAAAAAAAAAGAAAAAAAAAAAAGATGACCGGTAAGGGGATCTTAACCCTTGGTCAGCACCATGCTCTCCCAAGTGAGCTAACTGGCCATCCCTATATAGGGATCTGAACCTGTGGCTTGGTATTACCAGCACCGCACTCTCCCAAGTGAGTCACGGGCCGGCCTTTATTAGCCCCATTTTTATGGATGAGAAATTGAGGCTGAGAGAATAAGAATCCTGCCCAAGGTTGGACAGCTAGTAAGTGACAAAGTCCAACTCAAGCCTGTCTCACTCTGAAGCCCATCTCCTAACCACCGTGTTATGAGCTCCCTATCTTTATCACTCCATGTGGAAGTGGAGTACCTGGGACTTGGAGCCCTTGGGTACCTCTCAAAACCCCAATCTAGTCTCAGCTCATGATTTTATAGACAGTGTGTGGGAGCCTCAGCTGTAATGTCAGTTACCTGAAGCCAGCTATTTAAGCAGAGCTGGGCTCAAACCCAGGTGTCCCTTCTACCAGGTGGCTGAAGAACTTGTCACCCATTCTGGGATGGATAGGCTTTTAGGGAGAGTTAGGCTGGGTTAGGGAGGTGTGGATGAGGAAGATGCTTACCCAAAAAGTGGAGGATGGAACTCAGGAGTCCTGACTGCTGCCCAGTGGCTGTGAAAAGATGATCTCAGCTTTGTCCTCAGGAAATCTTTGTGGAATATCCCTTGTGCCTGAAGCTCTACGATGATGGCAGGAGACAGATGAATGGTATTCTCTTTTAAAGAGATGAACTATGTTTGAGCATCCCTTCATTTCCTGCTAAAAATACATTTCTTTTCCTCTCCCCCACTACCAAATGCACTTTACTACTTTAGAGTTCTTAGAAAAACTTTCCAGTTTAAAAAACTTGCTTGTTGTACAGTGGACCTGTTCCTTCCCTCTCCAGAGTCTCTCTATGATCTGGAACAAAAGGAAGGGAACTTCTATTTACAAGGCATTTTATATCTCAACCTCATTCATTCCTTACTCCACCTTACAGTTGAGAAAATCAAGGCACAGAGAGGCTAAGGAACTCTCTCAGAGTCACTATATTTGAATTGGGCTGTGTGTTGCATAGGGCATCCTCTTTCCATGCTGGCCTGCCTCCCGGTGATCCCCAGCTTCATTGTGAGCACAGAGCTTATTTTCAGCCAAAGGAACTGCTCTGTGAGGGATGCCCATGTTTGGAGCCTCCCATTCATGGCTCCTGGCCCCTGACTCTCCTACTGTGGCTGTAGCTAGTGAGCACTGTGGTCAATGACAGCAGGAAGGAAGCCTAGGATGAAGGCTCATTCCCTCACTGCAGGTGTTAGCTTCAGGCTGTCAGTCGGGGTCGGTGGAGTCAGAACCCCAGCTTGGTGGATCCAGAGTAGTCTTCCAAGGGGCTATGCAGCTGGAATTAGAGGGGCACCTTGTCAGGGAGTGGGGGAAGGCAGGTAGATGCTCCAGGTGCTGCTAAGAGTGATTGCGAAGTTCTTACATATCCACCTCGTCCATCCATTCATCCATGTGGCCCTTCAACACACAATCAGAACACAAAGGTGGAGGAACTGGTTTTCTCATCTGTTGTGACACCACTGGTGTTTTCTGATCAATGTGGGCAAGGGGGGTGACCTGCAGACTGGGAGTGCCTCTGCTCTGATTCACTCTGAGCTTGAGCAAGCCACCTCTCCACTTTGAGAGTCTGGGGAGCTAAAAGAGACCATAGAGCCATCTTGTGCTCATTGCTTTTCCTATTTTACTTAGGGTAACTGAGGCTGGGAGTGGGGAATTGACTTACCAAAGTCAGTTAAGGAATTAGCAGTGGATTTGGGACTGGATCCCAGGATGCTGCCACTCATTTGTAAAGTGGAAATGGGAATCCTGGTTCTCCTCACCTCCCAGGATTATAGGGAGGACCCCATGAGAGGTGAGGTCACCAGGCCAGAACGTCCCAGACGTGCACCTGAGGCTCTGGCTGCTGGACCGAGACAGATCCCACATTGACCACAAGGGGTCAGCAGACGCTTGCACTCATGCTCAGGATGGGCTGAGAAGGATAGGATCTGCTGGAAGGCATAATGCCTGTGTACTGGTGTCTGGGAGGGAGGCCAAGTCATTTAATTCTTGGGGACCCCTAGCAGGAACAAGAGGCAGGGAATATCCTGGCCCAGCCCCTTGTTGAGTCAGGAAGTGTTACTACTGCTATTACAATTCAAGAGCCTAGTCCAGCAGCTGACTTTGAAAGTCTGCAGGCCTGGGAGGGCTGAGGAGACAGAGCCAGGGGCAGGCCTTGGGTTGGGACTTCCTGCCTCCCCCAGTAACCTCTTTCTGGGTTTCAGCTCTTCCACCTGCAGTGGAGGAACAGGGACCTGGTGGGTGGTCTCTGCACTTCCTTCCATTTCTCACTGAGGTGTGGCACAGAGCTTTACACACACAATGCTCCATAAATTCAGCTCAGACCTTTCAGGGCCTTGTCTACCTCTTTCGTGGAGCCCGCCCCGATGTGTGCTCTTTCTTACTAGACTAGGCTCCACTCTGTCCATTTCCCGTACCTCGTGCCATCATTATCTGCTAAAACCTGCCTTAGTTCTCCCATTGGAGTGGGAGCTTCTGCCAGGCAGGGGCTGGACAAGGCAGGAAAAGAGAGGCTTAGCTACCTCTTGTCTCACGCACAAATGACCATATTCTCTGGAGCTCTTGGGTCATTTCCAAGGTGGTTTGTTCCCCTCCTATTGCTTCAGAGATTTTGCATACTTTAATACTGAGGAATCATTGACTCCCCAGAAACATTTTCAAACAAAACCATGGTTTTTCTCACTCTAAGCAGAGGTTGATAACTAATAGTCCTCCTGGGGCCCATAGCAGGGGTGCTGATTTGATCAATTTGAGCACTTTGGGTGGGGTATGCAAGCTCTAGTTAGTCACAGCTCCTATCACTGCCATTGTCCCAAACCAAAGTGTACCTTATATGTTCCTGGGCCCTGAAAGCAGGTGAGTTTGTGACCACCCCGAGGTGTTAGAACAGGGGTTCCTTTAAAATAAATAACTAGTTTTCAAAACTTTAAAATTGTAGTATACACACTATATACAAAATTTGAAGTGTAAAGGGTACGTACTAAAGGAGAACTCTTCACCTCCTCCTCCCTGAGGCCAGTGTGTTGACTG